GTGGGCCGTTTTTGTTGCGCTTTCGGCTGCTCACTTAGCCAAAAATGAGGCCTGAAACCAGCCTGAAAAACCCGTCTGAAATCAGTCAATTGCGGGACATGGGTGGGGGAGGGTCTCCGGCGCAGAAGACGGCATAATGAAGCCCGATGTCCCCCAATCGTTTGGGCTCAGACTGGGTTCAGACATGTTTAGGCTGGGTTCAGACCTGTTTCCTGGCCCCTGCATTGTTGTGCGCCAAGGTCCGGGCTTGACCACCCGAACGTCAAACTCCTGGCGACGTTTGTGGACGGCGGCCAGGCTATCCTGGTAATGGAGCTCTGCGAAGGCGCGAATGACCCAGCATGGCGGGAAAAATTTGGCAGGTCAATCCTGCGACTTTGCAAAGCACAGCCTGGGGCGCCATGATGTTTAGACTGGGGCACCATGATGCGAAGAACATGCGTAACTTGATGCTCAGAGCAAAGGCGACTTTCTGTTCAGATCAACAGCTACTTGATGTTCAGACTTGCTTTACGCTGTTCAGGCAAAACTCTAGGCTGGACATTCGCAGCCTTGCTGGACACCACAATGCCAAAACGCGGTGAGACAGGCCTTGTCGGAAGAAGCAACTGAAGAGGTACTTCTTTGCGTGCGAGGCACGGTTCTTGGCATGCCCTTGCTTGCTGAATAACGCATGCCTCTACTACAGCAAGCAAGCTGTGCTCTGAAAATCAGTTTGCTTGCGTTCTGCGTATCAAGTTGCCTGTTTTCTGAACCTCATGTTGCCCCAGTTTGACCATTGAGCAACCTGTGCTCAGAGCATCAAGTTGCCCCCTGTGCCAAGCCAAATGTGCTATCTGAGGGTTTACTTCATGTTCAATCATAATTGCAGCCCAAAGCTCTGGAATTTATTCTTTTTCATCAAGGAACTAATCATTTTTGTTTGCCAGCAGGTAGACTCCCTGTGCACTTGCAGCCCGAAAGAACTAGATCCAGAGTTAACTCCAGGAGAAGGACATTCCCCAATATGTACCATCTATGAAGTAAAGACCTTTCAAGCTCAACGTACATCGACCTCCAAAAGGAATTATCCCAAGAGCCAGGAGAAATAAACTCTGGTTTTCATTCCTTTTCCCAAGACAATGGGGCGGTGGCCAGGCGGTGAGCTCCTGGACAGTCTCTTTCACACCCCGGACGGCCCTTGGTGCCGTGCCAGAGGGCCTCATTGCAGCGGCCTTCACGCCGCTGGCGCGAGCGGTGGGGTTTTTGCTGGCTCGACGGGTCGCGCGCCGGGACCTGAAGCCTGCCAACGTCCTCTGAGCAGGCGGGTTGTCCCTGGCCCCCCACCTTGTTGTGGTGCCGTGCTTCAATCTTCGAGCAGCTTCTTGGTGTCTGTGTCACGTAGCTCGGTGAATCCCCTGACGAAGATTTTGGTGGAAGCAGATGGCGACAGCCGCTTTGTCTTTACATGAAGCCTGAGCAGAGACTAACGCGTGAGACTAATTTCTTCGGTGTTGATTCTGAATATCCCCTGTCAGACTGTCACGAACTTCCCTTCTGTCCTGCAAGTGGAGCCGCGGAAGGAAATTCCGCATGTGGGCTTTGTACGAACTGGTATATGTATATATTCATATACATATATATATATATACGTGTGTGCACATACACACATACACATAGATACATATAAACACACAAAGGCGAACCAGGGGCGTTTGCGCAAGCAGGCTTGCCCGAGCAGGCGCAAGCCTTACCCCAACGCGGTCTCTAATGTTTTTGACAAGTTGAGGTTCACAACTGTGCCTCGCGCGCAAGGCCTCCTTTCGTGAGGTAGTTGCTGAAGTTTTAGGCACTTAGCTGTTGCAACTTGTTTTTGCAAGGCAGGCGCGCCAAGCAACGCTGGCTGCAGTGAAGCAGCGTCGTGTTTCGCAGGCAGTAGTTTCGCGATTTGTGGGGCTGGCTAGGGAAACGCAAAACATGCACGTAACATGCATAAAATGCATTGCTTCGCAAAGTCAGTTGCGAGCAAAGATGTGTGCAGTATGTGTTTGTGTTCCTTGAGCTCTTGATCTTCCTAGATGCGCGCTGGAGGTTTTGCTCGAGCAGCTCCTCGGTGACAATGGAGGTGTTTGTTCTCATTGAGCGCTGGATCTTCCTAGATGCGCGCTGGAGGCTTTGCTCGAGTAGCTAGCTCCTCAGTGACAATTTCCTTTTTGTGCAGCGGCAAGAAGAAAAACGGGTTTTCGATCTCAGGTTGTGCCTTTAAATAAAAGGGCAACAGGCAAATCTTTGACCCTTGCTCCAAAACGAGACAGACACAAACAAACTTCTTTCCACACATGGCATCACTAATTCTTATGAAGAATATTTATCACCTTCCGCGTTGAGGCCTAGTTTCACTGCGGAAGTCTGGCAGTGTGCGTGTTGGAAAGTTTTTCCGTAGCCAACATTTGAACTAATCGACAACTTCGATAAATTCATGCACTGTGCTGAGAGGCACTATTTTACTTGAGGCACGAGCAGTTCTGGAAGCGGAACCGTTATGAATCTGTGAGACTTCAAGGTTCTGTACACGAGAGGTATTCGAAACGAAATTGACTGTGCCAAGGATCAGCGTGAGAAATTCCGGTTTCCCGGAACCATACGAGAAAGACATTCCAGTTGGAAATTGGTTCTCTAGTCATGTGTCATTATGATGACAGAAAAGAGATCTCGACTTCAATTAGCTTGAATATCCACGGTCTCGTCCACGTTCCTGATAGTTGGTTCTTCTGCGCTGCATTTGTGCTTCAGAAACATTTGGATTCTTGTGGACGGTGTCGAGGTTCACTAGGAGAGGATGGTGCCAGTCAGTGTCGGCGTTTCCAAGCATGAGCTGTTCATTGGTGAGCAGTTTGTATCTTTCTCCTGAGCCGACCTTGTAGTGCTTCCCAATGGCTGTTCTCGATCTGGCACATAGTTCTCTGGAGTGTTTCTTGTCCGGCAATCAAGCATGCGGTTCGTCTTGGCCCAATGAAAGACATAGGTAACCAGGCAATCTAGGACGCCATAGAAGTTGTCAACATCAAGGGTAGACTTGGATCCGTGTTTCAGCGCGGCTTCGATGATGGATCTCTTCGACGCTGCCACTTCGGTGCTGACCCGAATGTGTTTGAGTGGCTGTCCACGATTCCTTCAATCGCGTAGTTGATAGCGGAAATCTGTGGATGTTGAACTTCTTGTCCTTTTCCAAGTTTGTTGCATGCTGAGTTGGCGTCGCCCGTGATGACGTCGACCATATGCTGGACACCTCGATTTATGAATCGAGTCATGTTCTTGACCACTGCTTGGTAGGACTTGGTTGCGATACCTTCATAGTGGTACACTCCGACCGTTAAGAACGGCAGTCCTGCTCGGTGGACATGAGTCCTACCGTATTCTCCTTTTGTCTGAATGGTCAAGACCGCATTTGTCACGTATTCTGTAATTCCGCAATCGCAATAAAGGATCCTTCCATTGGAATATGATACGGTTCTCTTGATGTCCTTGGCCTTGGTTGGCACTCTCCATGTTTGATCGTTTCCGGATGTACTGACGATGACGTCATTGAAGGTCTCGCCCACTGTTTTGTTTTGGCGAGTATGCTCAGCCGGAAGTGGTTTTTCTGCAAGATGAGGGACTCATGTGTTCTTGGTTTCGGAGAGTAGTCCACACCATACTCTGAAGTAAGCTCCAGACATCACCCAATGCTGGGATTTGGTAAGTGTATATCGGTGGATAAGGTCCACTCGTGCTGTCTTGTCTCCTCTCACAAAGCATCCGATGCCTTTGCATCCGCCCTGGGTCACGGCAAGGGGAAGAGGAGAGAAGAGGAGGAAAAGAGAAGGCGAAGAAGAAAGGCGCAGGAGAAGGCCAAACCATGGAGAAAGAGAAGTCAAGGAGAAAGAGCAATCAGTACTACGCCATCCTGGTCCAAGCCAGTCACTTTGCCTTCTTGAAAGAGCAGCCGCAAGACCTGTTGGCAAATGGCCGCCGGCCTCCCGCCGGTCCGTCGCCAGCAGCAAAAGCCCCCGTGCAGTCATGCAAGAGTTCGGCCTTTGTCACTGGCCCCGCTCCCAGCCGACGCAGCACCCACTTCCGGACCTTGGCCCAGGTAAGGGCAGGCTTCGGGCGCACTGCGGCGTCGCCCGGGGCTGACAGCCCACCGTGGCAACCCGCTGCGGGTCAGACAAAGTCAGCGGCGGTCGCACCCAGGTCCACGAGCAGTCAGGGCACAGCCAAACAGCCTCATGCGGCAACGCGAAGAAGTCCCGGCGCGCTCCGCGGTTCCAAGCGCAGCCACCACGAAAATGCACAACGCGACGACAACCACGGCAAACCTCGCCACCGCGGGACCGGCACCAAACACAGACATCCGTCTCTTGAGGGGGAGGAGGGGGAGCCAGACGGGCTTTGCCGCAACGAGTGCAACAGGTAAGGGCCTCCGCGGGCAGGTTCGCCACACAAGCACATTGGGTTTGCAGCGCCACGCGGGCAAGCGCCCGCTCGGGAGCCGCCGGGCCCCATGTGACGCCACCGGCGGTCCGGAGTGGAAACCCGTCGTGATTTTGGAGCTGCGACAAATGCGAAGGCTTCACTGCAACGGTTCACGCCGGAGGCGGCCCTCCACCACCTCCAGCGTGGGCACCAGCCACTCCCGGATGCATTGCTGGGCTGCAGGCGTGCCTAGCCACGCCGAGAGCATGGGGCCTGGGCTGGGCTGGGCCTTGCTTGCGTGGGTTGCTCGTTGGGCTGTGAGGCTAGTCTCAGACAGGTCAGACAGGCCTGGCCAGCAAGAGTGTTTTCCATTCTCAGCGCATTTGCGACAAAAATGGGTGCATGGAGCTGGACGCCGACAAGCCCCGAAAATTTCAAGGGCAGGCATGGGTGAGGGGGGGGGATGGCCCCCTTCAGGCCGAAGCGAATTCATCTAGCAGAAGGAGCCTTTTGGTTTACCTCATCAATCCAGGCTGTGGCTCGCTTGGGATCGCTTGCCGCGCCAGGGCCAACAGATGGGCCCGCAGGCAGGCGCGTCGTGGGCTTGGCATCAAAATAGGAATTGAGCCCCCGAACATGGTTTGGCTTTTGTTTTTTTTGGTGCCTTCAAAACCTGAAAATGAAACAAGAGAAAGGGTGCGGAATTTCTTGTTGGTCCATCCCATTCCCGTCCTACCAAGAGCCTGACAAAGTCTATGAGCTAGATGTGGATTTGCTTTGAATTTTTGGAAGTTTCACCAGCTTTTTCCAAGACCCAGGATTTCCACAGGTCCCCTGTTGATGGCGCAGGTGATGCAGGTTCGGGGCATGATGCCGGAGAACCTTCAGGCAGCTCTGGCCATTTTTTGTCCGGTTGGAGTCAATATTCAGCACCGTCTGTAGTAAGGTGGATGAACTACACTCAGTGTGAAGTTGCACATCCTGCGTGGGGCGGGGGGGGGGGACGAGTAATTTCACTGTCCCCTGCTACACTTAATTTTGACACGGCCAAGCGTTGTTTTCCTCAAGTGTGCATTTTATTGATGGGCGGCAGCCGTAGCCAACGATAGATGTAGTCAAATGGTTGGTTTGCGGTACCAACATGTGAATTTAGGTGTCCGAGCAGCCGGTTTGGAAATTAGTAACCTAGCCGCATACATTTGGGCAAGTCAAAGCGCAACCTCGCGTAGTGGGTTTGCGACCTCACTCATGAAGGTCCGTTTCATTGGCTGCCGTTAAATTAGGTTGGTGAGTTCATTTTGATTAGTTTGTCATATGTTTGGCCAGATTGAGCCCGCCTTTCCGCGGGGGTAGGGACGCAACATGGGAACGCGCATTGTTTAGAGAAACATCTGGGTGTACCCTGTTTTAGGGCACGTCCCCCCAAAAAAAAGAAGAAGAAGAAGAAGTGGTTTTCCTTTTGCTTTCCCTTTGAAAAACACGGCTATGGGGTACCCTCAAAAAGAGACCCATATCTCATCAGTATTCTCGACTCCCCCAATGATGAGACCCTCAGGTTGGCAATCGGGGTAGAGGGAGTTTTCTTCTTGGGCACTCTCAGACAACTCATTCGGGAGGGGGGGGTGGAGAGGTTATGCGTCAGGGGTCAACATCATGCGAAGTCTGCATGGTTTGGCGCCAGGGGGCGCAGAATTTCCTCACAACACCCAGGAACCTTTCAGTCAGTATCTTGGGTTCTCAAAATTGCTTCGGCGGGTGGCCTCCCTTAAACCGGCCGGTGCGGTACTTTGAGGATGTCGCTTCCATGCACCCGGGGCAACCTAACGGGTCAATCCAATTGTTGCTTGCATTTGCCATTTGTGTGAGGTTCTTCGCTTGCAATGTAAGCCTTCGTTCGGATCACATGCAAATTTGCCATGGCACGCTGGTCGGTGTCACTGCCTTCGCCGTGCTTCTTGTTTGCTTTGCCAGAGGGGTTTCACGTTTTTATTTCCCTGGGGCCCTGAAAGATCCGGAGGCAATCAAATTACTCCCGTTCATGACGATTTGCATGCTAGTTGTGGGAGTGTCACTTTTACAGACCCATGAAACGCAGCCCTATGTTAGCCCAGAGTGCACGCACTGGATCAAAATATGTGAATTACCACGGGAACGGGGGGCTAAAAACTGGTCAACCAAAATAGAGTTAATGTATATATTGCTATATATTTATAAAATGAACAAGTCATGTATATATATATATGCATGTCTCTCTCTCTCTCTCTCTTTGTATATATATATATATATATACATGCACCTAGATATATGAGCAGCCCCCAATACCCCCCCCCCCAAGTGAATATGTTTGGCGCGTAAGGAGTCATGTGGGGTCGTGTATGCTCGCGTGAGGTTTGTTGTGAAAACTAGCGCCGCGCTTCGGGGCTTACGCGACGCGTTCTGCTTACTGCGTGTTTCCCTTGAAAAAGGATCCAACACCGCTTACGCGGTGCGGTCTTTGAGGGCGCGGTTTTTCGAATGGCTTCAGCAACAAACACAGCAGCTGAGATTCTGAAACGTCAGCCGACAGGAACTGGACTTCCCACCACTTCTGCAATGGGGGCACCTCTTAAAACGAGCCCACGGTTTTGGGGCATGGGGCTTCCAATGGCAGGTGCTGCTCTTCTCGGCCACCTGGCCAGACCACGTGGAGAAGTTCGCGAAGCCGGGGGCCCAAAGTTGTTTTTTTTTTTTGGCGTGTCTTTGAGCGGACCCCCAAAATGGCTGGGGTTTTCCTTCTGGTTTTTCTTGACCTGCCCCAAAAGAGGGTTCCCTAGTTTTTTTTGTTCCGTTTGAAGTGTCGTTTTGGGGGGAAATGGCTGGCGTTTGTCCGTGACTTCTAGGGGACACCGAATTGGCAGGTGTTTTTCAGGGGAAATGGCTGGGGGGTGGACCCTTCTGGTTTCTTTTGGTTGGGTGTCTCTGAGGAGATTTTGGCAGGGGGGTCCTTCTGGTTTTTCTTGACCTGCAAAAGGGCTTCTTGACCCTAAAGCAAACGGGTTTGTTCCTCATTGTATAATTATGGGGCCTGGGGGGCGGGGAAGGGGGGGAGCCCAAATCAGCCGCAAAGACTCGAGTTTGTTTTGTTTGCCTTTGGAGAAATCTATAATTTCGATTTCACCAGCTGAGACGGACCTGTCGAGCTAATACACAATGGATACCACTTGTTCCTCTGGTGTCCCATAATATACATGTGAACATCCCTCAAAACTGTGCATCGTGATGAAAGTAGATTGCCACAAATCCTTGGGTAATTGAAGTGGATGACTAAGCCAACATGGGTTGGACGTGTGCCATTTGAATTCATGCAACTGTAAAAACACGATGGTTTAGTTCCCAACAACTATAAGGACACCCCTCTTTGGGTTGGTAGAGAACAAGGGGGATGGGTCGCTTTTTGTTTTGGATGTTTACGGGACAATTTCACGTTCGGTTAGATATGATGCTCCATGTGGGGAAGTCCGATTTCTGGGTTGGTTCAAGGGCTGTCGTGTTCCTTTTCCACTCTATCAACTCCAAGGTGCCCCGTACGGCCATTCCCAATTGCCCTTCGGGAATCTTGAAGTGGCTTCTACCCGGCACCACTGGGTGTAGCGGGAGAAAATGCGATACGGCCAGAAAAGGTTTGGCCACGCTGAGGTTGCTGGTGCCCAAGGCGAACACCATCAAGGCGAATTGGTCGGGACTCGATTCGCAATGTGCAATTTTGGGCTTTGTTCGCTGGCCTTCGGGAGTCGGTGGCTGTGTTTTCTGGTCTTTTGCTTTTGGTTTTCGAAAGGGAACCCAAAAGGAAACAAAAGAGAAACTCAAGGGAAACAAGAGAGAAACTGCAGGGAAGCCAAAGGGAATCCTTTTTTGTTGAGGTCCCCTGTGGTTCGGGCCAAACCCATGCTGAGGCGCCATTTTTCAGCTCCCGGGTTCATCAACTGAAAAGGAAGGAGTTCTCACAATGACTTCTTCTTCTTCTTTTTGGGGGGGATGAGGTATGTGTGTTATTCAAATGATGCTTCGGGTAGCTGGGATAGTGCTGATCGAGTACTTGGAGTGAGGGTCCCGTGGTTTTGTTTTGAACCAAAAGGAATTCAATCGGGAAGGTTGTCAAGTGCTTGTGGCAGTACTTGATGAGTTCCCTTTGCACAAGTGCATTCGACGTATTGGGTAGCAAGCCTAACAGTAGGAAGGGCCAGAAACAACCGATCCCCCAATTCAGAGGTAGTGGTTGTAAGGTTCCAAGCACACCCCAGCCCTTCTCCCATTTTGATCCGCGCAACAGCGACAAGTGTCATAGCTTTGGGGGCCGGGCATGGGTCGAGCGGGGAATGTAAGAGAGAAAAGGGAGAGGGGGGGTTGGAGTGAGGGAGAGGGGGGTCGGTTGCTTAAATCCCTGTAAATCTCGAGGTTTTATGGCCGGACTCCCCAATTCAAACCCCCTTACTGTGTTTTTCCTGGAAGTTCTAGGAGTATGTCCCTGAATTGGGGGGTCGGTTCTCTAAAGCGTCGTGATTTGCAGGGTTTCTGGGGACCGACCCCCCACTTCAACAGCGGTTTGCTACTTTGTTCGCAAAACAAGTTTTGGTAAGCCAGTAGAAAACATGGGCCGACATTCAGGAACCCTTTGTGTGCTTCTTGGATGTTTGCTCCTGACGTGCGACCAGTCCTGTCCCCCAAGGACAATGTGTCAGCACAACTGGAGTGACTCGAGTGGTTTAGAGTCTTTTAGAGTGGTTTAGAGCGTGAATTAGAGTAATTTAGAGATTTCAAAAGGGGGGTCTGTTGTTTTGGGGTCACTGCAGGGACCCCTGAACATGATGCTTCAGATAGCTGGGATAGTGCTGATCAAGTACTTGGAGTGAGGGTCCCGTGGTTTTGATTTGAACCAAAAGGAATTCAAACATCAAGTACTTGTGGCAGTACTTGATGAGTGCCCTTTGCACAAGTGCATTCGACGTATTGGGTAGCAAGCCTAACAGTAGGAAGGGCCAGAGAAGTCAAACCACTTTGGGCTGCTCCATCTAGGCAACACCCTTCAGGTTCTCCACGTGTCAAGCAAGAAGTTGTCAATGTCCTCCTCGGATTGTCTCAGTCCGAGTCTCGTTCCCGTCCGAGTCCGTTAGGTGCAGAAAGAGGAGTTGACCTTGACAACCATCACACAAACGCGAGCCACCCAGAGACTCGAGAACCCGGAGATGTTTGGGTCAACGTTTGGTCCACGTGTGTTTTGTTTTGAGGAGGGGACCTTCCAACTTGGTGGAGTTGTTTTTTTTGGCTTCCCTTGAAACACCACAAAATCGAGGTACCCCCCAAAAAAGTGACACAGCTAAAGTGATTAGTGGGAATTTACTTAAATCCAAGGTTTGAAGTTGAATGGCCAAGAGGTACTTTACGACACGGGTCTAAGGCATGGGTCCCAATCCCTAAAGCCCTGCATCGCCTCTCTCAGTGGGCTACTCGGCAATTTGATAGACACCTTGTAGTCAGGTCCTTGCGTGCCGATTCCCAGGCTCCTTCCGTGACCTTCCTAGGTGTCATAGTGTTCTTGATAAGTTGTTTTTTCTTTTTGCATGACCATTAAGGTTCCGAAGGCTTTATTGGTGGTTCCTGCTGACTTCTGTGGAGAACTAGGGGTTGAAGGATTTTGCAGTCGCCCACAGTTCGGCTTGAGCTTGCCGTTGACATCAACCAGAAGGGTGTCCTTGTGTCATGGCCGCGCAGCCAAACTTCGGTTCATCTGTGAAAGTAGGAAGTCTGCGCATTCTGCTCTCCGAGAAGTTGATCCCATCAACCCGCCGAGCCTTGAACTCTGGGGCTGGCCTCTTAGCCAACACCTGACGGTTTGCTCCAGGTCTGGTCAGCCCCGTTTTAGGCACACGGCAAACAACCAAAAAGATCAGCAGTTCCAAGCTCCGAGTGTCCAGACCCCTGGTTCATTGGCCCGTCCTCCGCGACGGAATCTCCCGTAGGTGAAGAGATTGTCTCTGGGAAGGCCATAAAAGTCGCAGTCGGCAATTCCCACACCCAAGCCTTAGATGTTGCCCCTCTTTTGGTTGTATCCCCAGATGGCTGGGGCACCAGTGCTTCCCCCTTTCACCATTTCAAGCATCGCATTTTGGTCACGATGCGTAAGGATGTTGAAAGGGGCAACATAATCCGGACAACTGATTTATGCGCGCTCGAAGCTTCGTTTTGCCTTTGGCGGTGTGGCGGTATGGTGACGTGTTCAGCAATCAAGCACAGACTTCCCACTTACACATGATCATCAACATCGCTTTGTTGTCAAGTATTTGCCTCGAACAAGCATTGCTACACTCTGAGCCTGTCTCCATCATGGGTTGATGCACTGCAAATTCTCCATGAGCAGCCTGGGCAGTCGGCAGTTCCGGTCGCGTTTGCTCCCCCCTTGCGATGGCCAACCGGGAACTGGTGGACATGCTTTGGTTGGAATTGATGTCCACCGACCACTTTCCCTCGCGCTTGGAGTGGAGTTCCAGGACCCACAGCTGTTTCGTCTGTGCACCTTGCGCGCCTGTACCGGCTTTGGGGAGTTCATAACTCCTTGTGTGGGGTGGCCAGTCCGGGCCATCCCATCCCATCCCATCCCATCCCATCCCATCCCATCCCATCCCATCCCATCCCATCCCATCCCATCCCATCCCATCCCATCCCATCAATCCACGTCCACTGACCACTTGTTGAGGGGTCCGTATTGAAATTCATGGCCAAGTGTGCGCTTGCCGAGGTACATAGATGTGGGACGAGCGGACCAGAAGCCAGCGCAATTGTCGGACTTGTATGGTGCTTTGAACATCGGGCAAAGCATCATCTTCGTCAACACGAGGCGCAAGCGGTCCGGCGTGGCACGCGCAGGAAGCAGGGCGCCAGTCTACTACCATCGAACGTCCAGTTGTGGGTGTATGAGGCGTATCTCCCACTTTCCATGGAGGGTAGGGCTTGGGGTGTTGGAAGAAACCTTTTTGGACTGAGCTTTGGCTCCGGCTTCGGAGCCCCGGAAAATCTACCCATCAATTTGTTCGAAAAGGGCAACAAGGCAGCAGCACCAAATTGCCACCCGCAAATCGGAGTAGTGTCGACCTGCGTTGCATGTATCGCCATGGTGACAGCAATATCAAAGTGGTGTGAAACGTGAGTCCTGAAGTTAGGTGAAATCAACTAGTTTGTTATTCAGACATTGAAGATGGGAGGTGCTTGCCCTATAAAAATGAAAGATTGCCTCTCAATGAAAACGGACATCCCACTATCATTACTCCACCAGAGGGTTATTGATCTTGGCGTTTGCCTTTCATTTCCTGCTGCCCAGCTGGCCGAAAGGCAAGTTCCACCTGAAGTTTGGCCATGTGTCCCCACTGAGATACTCAGTCGTCCAAATCAGAGCTTTCGAGGGCCCCGAAAGGACGAACCCGTGGTGCCCGGGCCATAGCTGCGGCTTGGCTCATCGACCTGAAGCCCTTGGAATTTCTTGGACTCCGACCAAAAAAAAAGGTTCAACTTTGGGGATCACTTGGTGCAGGGGATCAAATCCATCCGGGGGGGAGAGAGGGGAGGGGGAGGGAGAAATGAGGCTTTGGGCTCAAGAGCTCTGGAATTTGGGCTCCGCGAAGCCGAGCGATTCTTTGGAAACAGCCCACCCGAGCGAAAAAGCGGGGCCCAGACACGGCGCCTTCGAGCTCGCGAAGATGATGAAGTCGGAGGGCCATGCTGCTGGGGGCTGAGTCAGTCGACCTGAAGACATTAGGATTGAGGAGCAACCTCAAATCAACATGACCAAACTAGGGTTATTACACAATTTATACGTGGGTCCTTTTGTTCTTCTTTTCTTGAACAATCCTTCATGGGTAGTCTACTGTTGGTTGTGATGGACAGCAAGGGTGAGCCGTAAACTTGCCAGAGAAGCCGCGACCACCCAATGGTGGCATGTCCTCTCGGGGAAGCAAGTTGTTTTGTCGGGTTGGATATCCGTTTTGGGGGGGGACTCATTGACTGGTGCGTGTTCTGGATGACTCCGAAGTCGACACCACTAGGCTGGCCGGGTGAACCAGAAGTCAAGATATGTCGATATTGAGCGCAAGAACGGGACTGCGGGTGTTCGTCCTTGTTTTCATGTACTATGTTCCGTTTTGGGTGCCTATTTTTAACCTACACTCATATCCAAAGGTTTGGCATTCCAAAAGGGGTCTTGGCATTTCTATTTTGCGGAAGATGTACTGCGAGTACTGCAAGTGTTTCAAGATAAACAATAGCTTTCTGCATGCATCAGGGTCGCTCTTTGGCCCTGCCAGAGAGCCCAAACGGCCAAAGACCGACCATTTCATTTTGTGGCAGGTAAACATTGCATTTGTCGTCGCCGTCCAAAGTGCCCCGTGGTGACAAAATATCGCTTAAGATCTAAAGATGCATTGCTTCGATTTAGCTACAAACAGAACCAGCAAATGAAGGCTCGTTCGCGTCGAGCACAACAAGACCCCCCAAGGTAGTTCTTGCGTTGATAGGTGGTTCTGCTTGGTTTGATGCCATGCATGCCCTGAGCATCTGTGGTTCCGAATGGGACCTCCTTTTGTGGCTGGTTTATCTGCGCCTGGATTGCAAGTAAGCCAGTCGCGGGGAAACGGTCCCCGCTTAGTCCATCAAGATCCAGGGCATTTCTTTGAGCACCGTCATCCTTTCGATTCGGTGGTTTTTGAGCCTTGGCTTGGCACCCAGATGCGATTGTCTCTAAATAGGGCCTCTTTTCAAGGACAATTGCCCTAAAAAAGAGCACACCCAGCTCAGCTCATTCTCGGCTTGACGAGGTTTCTCTGATTTGTGGCACGCAGAAGACTGGTCTGGGGGCTCGGCTCACAAAGCGTGCCCGTGGCGCGTATGGGGGCAGATGGGGTTGAAGGCAGAGTTGCATTCTTCTTGGCGTGGTTTGCAACCTTCCCCTTTTTGCTTGGCTTTCCCTTTTGCGTGTTGCGGGGTTACCTATTTCGCTGCCAATATTGTTTTTAGTCGCCTTTGGCCCTTCTTTGGTGATGCTTGCGGGCGGAACCTGAGTCTTGGGGCGTGGATTGGCCAAACCTGGCTGGTTGGAGGCCACTTCAGGCAAGCAGATATGTAGAGAGAAGCTATGAACAGCTTATTGCTTACTGATTTCTGCACTTTCTACTCTTGTGGAAGACCAGCCTGGTGGGAAGCCATCAGTTTGGCCTTTGGTGGGTAAGAACGTGCGTCAGCAGTAGGATGGCTCCGAGGCCAGGGATGGTTATCAGGGTATATATGTCGAGCCTAGACCCTCTACGCTTCTCCTTAAACGCAAGCCCGATATGAAACCGTTGCCGCGTGGGGGAGCGAGCATCCTACACCATGAGGACGTTGATGAGCATGCCACCTTGCTGGGTTGCCCGCGACCGTACCTGGCTCCGCTACTTTGCCTATTTTCAGAAGCCTCCCCCCAATTAACATGGTACCTGACGTTCTGGGGTCCCTTTAAAGGGAACATGGTCCAAACCAGAACCCCCCGAACGTCAGGTTCCATGTTAATTGGCGGGAGGGTATCCAAATCAGGGCAGTTGAAGTTTGGGGATCCCAGCCATAAATCGGTGGAATCCACCCATCGGCCGGGTGGAATTTTTGGAGCCCTGGAGACTGGGTTCTCCGAGTTCCGGTCATGGCCTTTGTTGGCAAGGCACGTTGTTACTTCCAGTTTCTGGGCGTCATACTTTCTGGGAAGATGATGGTCTCACTCGCCCAATCCACATTTTAAGCTTTGGTTTTCTGGTTTTGGTGCAGTTTGAGTCGAGGTTGCAATCTTGATGGCGCATGGCAGAAGAGTATAGTATTGTTGTCAGGACCTCACGTTTGCCAATAGCGATTCGCCTTTGTGGTCCCCGAAGCTTTTGGTGCCATATTGTTGTGTGGCGAGCCTACGAACAATGCTGTGTCTCGGCTGTCTCCTAGAGACGCGGGCAGCATGAAGCCTCCCTTTGGTACTTTCATTGAGCAGGCTTTCGGAAAGCATCCCGGCTCATGAACTGGGGCTTTTCTTTCGGAATATGAAAAACTTTCACGCGGCCATTCAGCCCGTTGGGCTGATTGGAGCCCGCTCTTTGGCGTCGCTAGGCCCAGAGCGTGTGGACGTGTCCTTTAGGGACCGCGCTGGGGACTGAGCGCTTTGGAGGGAAGGCTGAGGCTACTTTCTTGACCCGTACGTGTGTAATCTTTCTTTGCCGAAAAAGATGATTTGCCCAAAATAAGTGAGCTCCCAACCCCCCGCGCCGCAAATTCTTCGCCCTTTCAGGTGGTAAACATTTATGATCATGCTAGAACAGGTGGCTCAATGGGGCTCGATGGTTTGGTATGGGGGTCATTTTTTCGCTGCTGCTTCCAGGGCTCCAGGGGCGAAGTTCACTCTGGCTTGTTCCCATAGCCGAGGTCATGGGCGAGTTCCGCAGCGGCGTGACCAAGGCCCGGCTGGGCGGGGTGCAACTTTCGGTCCAGGAATCGGGTTGTGAGTGGACACCTGGCGGGGTGTTAGTGATCCAAGGTGGCCAGCTGTTATTTTCAGAGGGTCGTGGAGTTCCATGAGAGGAACATTGGGAGACTTGGCACTGAGAGTCTCGTAGGGAGTACCGGGATCGGAGTCCTAAGATTCCAGAACGAGATAGATGCGTTCTTCCATGACCTTTGGCGCCGTTCAAAGCTTTGACCATCCTTGGAACAACAAACGGGATTATCTCCGACGGAATCTGGGGAGTTTGTGTGGGGTTTTTTGACAACCGCCCAATCAGGGCAATCCCAAGACTTGATTTTAGGCCCTTAACAAATGCCCCAATCAGAAGAAACAAACAGCACCAAGCCGACGCTTTGGGCACGCCCGATCCGAGTCGAATTCCAGGTGTTGATCTCCACCGACGTGCTGGCTCGTGGGATTGACGTGCCAGCAGTGACCCTGGCCGGGGACCTGGAAGTTCACAGGCATTCCTTGGTCGACCCTGTTGCAAAAAGGGGGTCAAGGTTCGAGGGCGATCAGAGGAAGTTTAGTCGTGCGGCACTGCACTGCGGGACTCGGCACCCACAGGGCTGGGTCCCTGATGAAGATTTAGAGAGAGGGATTCGGATTCTCAACATTCCTTTGGGGCTGGTTTTCCTTTTGAGCCACCACTCAAAAGAACTCATTTTGAGGATGTCGCGCTTGGACCTTCCCCCGCTACTTGCGCCCAGGTTGTGAACTACGATCTCCCCATGAGCTACAACAACCACGGCCAGCCCGACTTCGAGACCTACATGCATCGGATCGGGCGGACCGGCAGGCCGAGAGCAAGGAGCCCTTTTTGTTGCTCGGTGGGTTTTTCTCCTCATAACCTCAAAGGGGGTCGTTGCTTGGTTCCAGGACCCCAAAAGTGGTGCTTTCCGCAGAAAGAGATGCCAAGCACGGTGGTTGGGGGTTTAACTCCTAGAGGAGAGCACCTACTTCGTCGCGGAGTTCACAAGGATGCCCTACTTCCCTAAGGTGCCCTTTAACACTTTCCAACTTTTCGGAGCCATGGTTTGACAGGGATTTGGTGACGGATGGGAAACAGGAATTCCTATGCCCTTGCATAGGGCACTGTTGCCACGAACCGACATGCCACGAAGCGACAGGAGGTTCTGAGCTCACATTCCCCAAGTGTTTGGACATTGTACTTCTGTGACAGGTCATTTGAGTGCCAGACGACGCAAATTGAGCTTCTTACGCCAACTCGCGCGAGTCCGCTCGGGATTTCCAAATTATATCTCAAGGCAGTGTTCACAGAGCACCGGTGCCCAGAGCACCGTCTGTCAGCTGGAGACACGTATGCTGTTAAGACCTGCTGGTTGGCTGGTCTTGAAAGGAAAGGGATGAAGCAATCTTCTGGCACCTTGACATGAGAGTTCCGAAGTCCTGGGAGTGTTGGGGGACTGTTTGGTCTCGTGAACCTACACAACCGTAAAGCTATCCAATACACTTGATACTTGATTGAAAAAAACTTTTCCAGCATAAACTAAACATCACACGAGGTAATACACACACTAGTTACTTTTTTCAACGTTTGCTTAATTGGGTTGTGTAGGACTTGGCTGTGGCTAGCCAAGGAGACGTTTTCAAACATATACGCTTTAACCACTGTGTCCCGTGCCAATGACTGAGCTCCGTGCGTTAGCTGTTCGCCCCACGGGTCTTGCGGAGGGCTGCGAAGCGCTCGTAAGAAAAACTCCAAGGTATGATCATCTCGTTTCGAGGTGTACTCGTCTGCGAGCAAAAAGACGATGCCAAGGCAAAGGGCCTTAATTTGACTTTCTGAGTTCTTGTGGTTCTCCCTGTTGCCTTGCTTTGTCGATCGCCCTTGAGATGGCCAGGGATCCAAGTAAAACTGGGTCCTGCAGTTCCTGAAGCCAGGTTTGGGCTCAAGGGTGTGGCGGTGAACTTGGTCTCGGATCGCGACCGGCATCACCTCGACGCCATCCAAAGGCCTCGCTCGAAATTTGCGGGGCCTTTCGGGATTCAACATTCTTCAGGTTTTACACTTTCCGGGTTCCCACGGTGCCGGGGGTGCGGGGTTCAACAATGGATTTGTTTTCCTTTTTTTTTAATAATGGGATGTTATTGTATACAAATCAATCAAAGCGAATGGCCGGGCCAGCCCCACGGCCCAATGGATTGTTTGTGCCTGTCTACTGCTTCAAAGTGAAGCAACCACAAGAACATTCATGTCGGGGCAACACATCGCAAGGTCTCACATTGATATGGATAGCCGAGGAGACAAACTTATATGGGGGATCGAAACCAGGTTAGCATGCTTTCTTCGCACGTACCTAACTGGGCTCAATACCCACATGGCGGGTTTTTCTGTAAGTGGTTTCTGTTAAATATGTATTTTGCAGTGCTCCAGCTTACGTTTGAGTCAACAAACGTTAGCAAAGAGGTGGTAGCCATGATCACTTGCTTGCTCGTCAGGAATCCAGACAACTGAAGGGCGTCCGATTCAGAGAAGCATGGCTGTAGCTCTCATCAGAAGTTCCGACCAGTCATTTGGCATGTTGCCCGTTTGTTTGAAGGAAACCAAAAGGACATGACAGATCTTTTTCGGGCCTGCACATGTCGGAAAAGAAACACATCCGACTGCAATGAATACATTTTTTCTTTTTTGCGGGTACTCTTTTTCGTGCTGTTTTTGTTTTTGTGTTTGTTTGTTGTTACAGGGAAGCCAAAGAGAACGCGAACCCCATGGGGCGTTTCATCTCCCATTTAGAGACAGACTCACATCGTTGGCTATGAACTTCAGTGTTGCACGCCCTTAAACAGTGGAGACAAATCCCCATGTATTTCTGAATTCAAAGGTTCCAAGCACAAACCTCCCACCCGTGACATCATCCCATTGGCTTTTTTGCGAGCGCTCGCTCTCAGCTTCTACAAGTGCGCCATGACGAAGTTGAGCGGCGACTGCGAGGTGGGGTGACGGGATGCAGCAGCGAAGTGAGCCACAGGCGGATGTTTTCACGGGGATTTAGCAAAGAGGAATACGTTTCTTTTGGCTTCCCTACAACGTAAGTTAAAAGTCCTCATGCCATTGAGGGTAACAACATATCAGCCTGGTTATTACAGCCCCCTTGCCATTAGGTGCGGACCTTGGTTCTGGGTCGAACCTTTTCGTATTCGGTTGGATGACTCAAGGTGATGGCATTACGACTAGGGGGCTATACTACATTCTGACAGCTGTTCGAAAATTGCAACGTCTTCTATGGACAAATAGGACCAGCTGGGTGCAATCTCCCAGCTAGATGGGTATGTTTGTTTTGGATTGTTTTTGTAGCCTAGTTGAGCCACTTGCTCAAAACCGATTCGGGTAGATGAAGCATAGCAAAGGATCCCAACCAGAAATAGCTGCGGAGATCCGCCTTGATTCTTTACATGGTTCTAGACCATTTTAGTACCGGGTTTTGATTGTGACTCAGTTGCCCAAAGCAAATCGACCTAACCTGGAGCACCAGCTAGATGGGTATGTTTGTTTTGGATTGTTTTTGTAGCCTAGTTGAGCCACTTGCTCAAAACCGATTCGGGTAGATGAAGCATAGCAAAGGATCCCAACCAGAAATAGCTGCGGAGATCCGCCTGCCCACTGCTCCACACCCCGAAAACCACCGCCTCAAGGGAATCGTTCGGGAGCTCCAAATAAGTTGTCATTGCTATAAGCCCAAAATGGCACCCCGGGCTATTGTGGCGAGGTAGGTGTTTTTTTTTGTGGTGTAAGGGAGTGACCGGCTTGCATTTGGTAGGTCTCCGGGTATTGGCCAGTTGAATTGCGTGGATACTCTTGGTACTGTATACTTTTGGTACCCCTGTGATATGATGAGAGGCTCTTTTCCTGTGATGAATTCGAGCCCCACCGTGCTGAGGAGATGGAAGGCCTATTGAAGGGCCTGAGATAACACGGCGAGCCGGGCGCGCCCCGCTTTGGGATCCGGCGCTTAGAGTCTAGGCTTAGAGGCTTGGACAAGGCAATTTCCGTGAAAGCTTCCAATCGGTTGCTTTGTTCAAATGACAGCCAAAGCCAAGCTCAGACGCGTCGATGCTGCGTTTCCAATGGTCCGTTATGTCGTCGAGAGAGCAATGTATGCTGCTGCAACTCTGATTGGGGCGTCTGAGGCGTGCAGGCCTACTCATACGCCACAAACGGGTGACCTGAAGAATGCCTTGCTTTCTGGTATGTGCTAAAAGCCAATCGACATATCCTTGTAGCTTTCTATTGTTGGTCGACCAAAAGTCATGGCAGCCAAGAGTTTGGGCTTTGGTGCCACGACTGTCGAGCATGGGAGCCAGTCGTTGTTTCAGCGACACCTGTTATGTATATATATATATACATGCATGAATACAATGCAAGCTTGCTTGCGGTGTTGGAAATGTATGCGCTAGATCCCAGGAGAGGCCTAGCTCGTAGGGCATGCCTTCACGCACGCAGCTTCGCTTTGTACAGTTGAGGCCGGGGTACAAGAAAAAGAGATACACCGTCTTTGAGACGGGCTTGAACGATTTGGAAAACGGTCCTGTTGAAACGACCTCTGTCCACTTTTATGGTTGTTGGCGAGAGGGTGGCTGGTTTTGCTTTGCTCGCTTGACTCGTCCGGGACCGTTGAGCTGTTAGAGTCATCCAGGAGAGGCAAACCCTCATGCAAGGAAAGTAATACGCAGGAATCATGCTGTATATGCCAAAGGTTAAAGGTTGAGTGTTGTTTTTTTCCCTCACCCGGCGAGTTGGCAAACATTAATAAACTTTCCGTTGGCAGGTTTCTTCATCTTCGTCAAGGGCCAACTGGCCAGCAAGTCGGTGTTAGTGTTACCTTTTTGTGAATGTGGAATGTTCATTTTTACTTTGCAACTTTGGATCTCTCGAGATCGATGGTAGTTCATGACCGTTACCCACAACTTGGTACTTATCCTTAGTCTCATTTGCGGCTGTTCCAGAAATGAGCTGCCTCCAGAAACACGTTGGCCCTCAGGGCTCCATCACGTCCAAAGTGGGTTGGATCCTCATTCCCATTGACTCACATGGCCTTGCCACCGCGGCTTCTATTTGGACTGCGACCAGCGCCTTTGCCTTTTGCGTCCAATCACTTTTAGGGGGTCCCTTCTCGGGAATATGGGAATGAAGTTCTTGCAGCCAGCCATCAGGGGATCTCGGCTTTCGGGAAGTTTGCTCGGCCGTGTTTTGGAGAGAATGCCATCAATCTGCGGTTGATTCCCCATTCTTTCAACTATCGTTCTTTTTTCAAAAACCAGCTTTTTCCCCTGGGTTTTTCTGAAAAGAAGGATCCCTGGAAAGAATGGGGAATGCACCCCTAGAATCAAGTTGACTATGCCAGCTGGAAGTGGACCTTTCCGCAGCCAAAAAGGTTCGAACCTCTTCGAGCTTTTGTCCACGCCAGCCTCTGCTGTCGTCGATACTAGAAATTCCCACTTCCGTACAAAGCCGTAGCCTCAATGAGCAGGGCTACGCTTGGCGCGCTTTTTTCGGGGTGTACTGCGTGCGGGAGAGAGAGGGAGAGAGAGGGAGAGAGAGAGAGAGCGTGCGTGCGTGTGTGTGTGTGTGTGGCTGTGTGGCTGTGTGTTTGTTTGTGTGCTTGTGTTTGTGCCTGTATTTGTGCTTGTGTCTTTCGAATTCCCGTGGCCGACGGACTCAACAACTGCTTTTTTGCCGTGTTTTTTGGACTGCACTTGAGGGTTACATGGGAACAATGCAGCTATTGGATGTTCAGGTGGTTTTGCCTAGCTTGCGGTTTCTCTCAGCCACCGGGAGCTGCAGTTGGCGAAAGGGCTTTGTCACGAGCTGGGAAATTGGCCATTTCCACAAACGGCTTTTCGGATTTGTTGGTTCTTGCTTTGCGAACATGTCAACAAAGGGGAGTAGAACCTGTTTGATTAACCTCGTAAATCCTACAAGCAGCGGGCTGTCCCTTGCGCAAGTGGGGCAAATGTAGCTGGCCACATCCACTGCCAAACATTCGCACCATAGGGTGTTGAATGGGTCGGATCTTCGGTCGTCGACCAACTCTAAGGGTTTTTGTATTACGCCCTGGGATGACGCCCACTGGGAAGTGACCCCATTTGGGCATATGTCCGGAATAAAATCATGTTATTTTGGACCATTTTGGGCCATTTCCCAAGAGTGTAATCCCAGGGTGTAATACAACAACCCTTAGAGTATATGTGCTGATCAACATTGGGACATGTCTAAACGCTCTCGGGACCCATCCAATCGGGAGACAAATTTGCGTGGGTGTTCTTTTGACATGGGCCAAACAAGTTTCTGGGCTTCCATTGCTTCTCGGAGGTCATCTTAGTCGTGGTGAACACACAGTTTGGGAATTCTTTCGGAAGGACATCTTAGAGGGGAAGATTAATAATTAAGGACGCGTGTGGCACACACATTTGACAAGCGTTTCAGGAAGAAGCAACACAACGGCACGTTTCGACAAGTGCTGGAGTAAAGCAAGAGACTTTGGCAAGTGGGCCTGTCTCGAATGGGGAGCTCCCTTAGGGAAAGTTTCAAAGTGAAACCGAAAGGCAACCAAACATGGAGAGTCCCACTTTTTGACAATTGGACACACCAAATGGGCAGACAAGGGCTGGTAGGCGAAAAATCCAGTTTCCACTTCAGGCGTGAGTAAAACTTCCTTTCAACGAGCGCTTAGAAAATTCCGCTTTCGAGGGCGCCTCTGATTTTACGATCGATACAACCGCAAGATGACGGTACTGCGCAACAACGCAAAGCTGCATGAGGAAGCCCCAAGTGGTCGCATACCCCGCTTTGCGCAAAGATCTTTGGGTATATATGTAAATTGCGTTGTCCTTCTGTATACTGTACCAAATCTACGCAACTTTAGGGAAGCGGCAGGGGTTGTTTCCCTTCAACCTACAAGTGCCACTTATGGGGCGACTGCAAAGAATCGCACTGAGTGGCCGTGCAAAATGCCGTCACCTCCAGTCGGCAGCGGCTTGCCAATGGCTGAATGTGTCGTTTTGTGATGATAGCCTTCACACTCTTGGTTTCCTCTTAGTTCCTTTTTAAGTTGTTTGAAAGGGACACCAAAAGCAAACCACCCAATCTGCTTTCTTGGGGAGGTCCATATCCTATTTTGAGACACCCGAGTTAAGTCACTGATCTCGTTGCATCACCTAGGATATGAAGCGCAGCCCGCGCCCCAGTTTCGCGCATCGCGTTCGTTGGGGACGCTGCGGTCGAGTGCGATCTCCACATATCTATACATGTTGACCTCGACAGTTGCACGCACTCAACATGTGTTCTTTCGTCTCGGAAGGTTCAAGCAGTTGCCCAGCAATAAGTGTTCAAACTAGGCCAAGACCCCCGTGTGGTCCAGTTTGAAGGAGACCAACCACCATGAGACCCCCAATTTGGAGGAAATTGCCGTCAGTGTTGATTGCCAAATGTTCATAGCAGGACTTGCAAGTTAGGGTTTGGTCTTGCAGAATTGCTGCTGCGACCAATTTGAGAGTCGTGACAGCAGTTTAGAATACCAAGACTTCAGGCATTACACGGTTGTCCCTGTGGTTTGATTTTGAAACCAACCAACCCCCCTTTGAGCGTCCACGTGCCAGGCTGCTAAGCTGCATCTCTGTTTGATAGCGAGCCAGCCGCTGCCCCAGCCATTGAAGGTTCGGGGAGATGCTTGGTTTGAATGGGTTTTTGGATGTTCGACCCACTACAAGTCCACCAAGAGGAGAACACCTTATTGTGAGCGAGTTATGCCTTGCTGACCTACTAGCTGGGCCAACACACTATCTGCTCCTGGATAGCACAAGAATAGCCTTTGAAGCTTTTTGGAAAACAAGCTAATGAGATAACACGTTGTTACACTTAATCACTTATAAAGGCATGGCCAAGGAAGAATTGCGACTGCAGGAACGGAGGGACCACCCTAGCATGGGTTCTGGCAGAGCGGTGAGGGCGATACTTACGGCTTCCCAAATGGGTTTGCCCCGTCTTTCGCTCAAGGAAAGCGCGCACACAAATGAGTTCGTTGGTTTTAGGGAAGTTGGTTTTAGAGGTCCAGGTGTTAAGAAGGATCCACACATCTGACATATCGACCATGTCTGTTTTTCTGGCTTAAGCCCGGGACCTCCGAATCAAATGATCACTATGTTGAGAGCTTCTGAGAACCCGTCTACAATCACAAGGTCTTGATCTGCACTGTTACCTGAGTTTCTGCTGAAGCTTGGGGTGTTAAACGGATGCTGTGGGACAGTGCTTGGGGTTTTGAGCAGGGCCGTGTATGGGCCAACCTCAGCTGGCCATAGTTCACCACCAATGGGATCCCATTTTGGGATTTTTGGTGAATTCACCACCCATTTTAGGCTTCCTATTTTTGGATTGAATCGGATGTTCACTGGGGGCTAACCGGGCTTTTGACCCATGGCCAGCTGGATGTGCTGAGGATAAAATTTTGCAGCCATGGTGATCCTGGAGTCCGCGTTCGCCACGGCGGCCGCGGGCATGGCGCCAGGCACCAACCAGAGGTTCTAAATGTGGGTCAAAGATTGGTACCCAAGCAAGGGTTCCATTGGGTGTGAGTGGCATGAGTGGCCATGAGTGGCCATAGGCCCATGGACAAAGTCACATGACTGTGGGTCAAAAATATGTACCCCAAATGGGTTGCCCTGGTAAATGGAAAGGACGAAAACTTGCGTTCCGATTCCTGGTGGTTGAATTTCGACTGCCCAAATTGGGGCGGCAAAGAGGAGCTTTGTCGGGCATGGCCATGGCGAAGTGGAGTGGTTGGCAGCACACCGTCACTTGGGTCACTTCGTTCGAGCAACGCTTCTCCTCGCCCAAAACACACATCCTACAAAAAGCTAATTTGCCGGCATGCTGGTGACTCTGTGGTGTTTCTTGTCTTTGGCGTGACTTTTCGAGCATGGATTGTGCAGGTGCTGCTACGAAGGCTGGGTGACAAGTCAGAG